GAAATTACGGAATTACGGAACTGGAATTGTGGAATTGTGGAATTGTTCGAAGCGAAATTTTTTAAGATTTTTATTTACAAGAAAAATATTGCATATATTCATTATTATTTTTTTTTTAGGTGAATTATAGCATTTTTTTATTATTATAATGTTATAATCAATTAACTTGAGGTCCTAATCACACTAAAAATGCAAAAAAAAAAAAAAAAAAAAGTAATAAGAATACATGTTGAAAATGAGAAGACTTGGTTATTAATAAATAAATGAATTTGAATTCAAAATAGATTTATACTGTAAAATTAATTATGTACTCTCATAAAAACATGTAATTGTGTTATTATATACATAATTGAAATATTATGACTGAAATACATCCAAAATGATATCGATTCGAAATGACATCTATTCGAATAGAAATGATATCGACTCGAAATGATATCAACTAAAGGATTCTATTCAATCATTTCTATTGAACAATTTGTTTTTTAATAGAAAAAAGTCGTATTTACATGGTTTTTTTTTTTTCTTTTTTGATTATGAAAATGAACCACTCTATTATTATTATTTTCTTTTTTTTTTGTTTAAAAAAAAAATTTGTATATTTGTTGAAATGAAAGTCATTATCCTTGAAAGATTTACCGCCCTCCGCCCTTTCTATTATTGACCTTATGCTTTATATACTTTGGGTAAACTAGGATAACCTAGAATAACTTTAGTCATGATATGTGGTTTTCCTTTTTCTTATCAAAAAAACCTATCATCAACTATCATCAAACTATTTGCTATTTGTGACCATTTGACTATTCATTATTATTACAAGAAATAACAGTGACTTCAAATTTACGACCACATTTACTGCTCAAAGTACTGCTTCGAGTTAATGCGCCTTGTAATGAATATAAACTGCTATTAGGACTCGAAGCTAAACTAATTCCACTACTCGTAGTAGATGAAGGAGATGACGAGGCAGGTTCAGAGGAAGAACTCCATTCAACTTCGAATTTTCTACCAGTATGAGAATTAATCGTAGTGTAAGGTTCATGTGTCTCAAATTTTGAAGTAGAATTAGGTCGTCGGTCGTATAAAATTTCTTGTAGTAACTTATCCGATACTTTATTTGTTGAAAAAGATCTTCTTGATCTAACGAGTCCATTAACCACAGGTGATGGTGGTTTTATAGGTTTATTGACAACACTCTTCGTTCGACCACGAGAATTAGTCAAATCAGAAGAATTAGATGATATATTCTTATTTACACTTG